GTTTTTTTTTTTTTTTGAGCGCCTTTTTCCCTCATCCCTCGCGAGTTTAGGGTTTAGGGTTTGGGGTTTAGGGTTTAGGGGTTTGGGTTTAGGGTTTTTTTGATATCGAGTTCTTCTCGAAATCTAGAAATTGTTGATAAGTTTAGTTTAGGGGCTTACACAGGGCTTGGGGGTCTTCCACATGTTTGGTGATCGATGGCCTGGGATTCTAGGCCTTATAATGCGTAGGGATTTTCCAGTGGTTTGGGGTTTGGGCTCCGCGATGTTAGGGTTTCGGTTGCTATGGGATTGGGGGTGTCTTCGGGTGCAGGGGTTTAGGGCATCTGCCAGTATGTAAGCAAGCATGTATGTATGTATGTGTGTAGGTTGGTAGATAGGCGGGCAGGTATGCGTACGAAAAATATCCAAGTCGTGCCCGGCACAGCTTTCACATACAAGATTGTGGTAACCAATACTTTGGCAACATACTGCCGACAAAAAGACGCTGCCAGGTTTCTTAGGTCACAATGCCAGGGACCTGCTCTGATAGGCAGAACAGCCTCCGGATCAAGAAATACTTCTTGCAAAGGCACATGCCACTGTGAGGTAATTCCAGTTTCCTCAAACCTGCGAGCCTTGCAGGACATTGGGCTTACTGTAGTGTAGGCTGGGTTCCATGAGGGTTTAGACATGATATGGGCCTTTAGGATACAGGCTAGATGGAACCACACTAAAGCCAGACAGCCGTGATGTGCAGGGGTTGTAGGGCTAGCTTGAGTCTTGATGCGTCAACTAAACCTAAGTCACAAGTCCCGAGGCCGCAATGATCAAATCTCAAAGACGAGGCCCCGATCATACGGCTGATGATATAAATCCTGCATTACCCATACTGAGGAATATACCATAGTTCCCATAGTTTAGGGTCTTTTAGGTAATGCAGGATTTTTATCATCAACAGTAGGGAAACAGCCGGCCTAGGTTGCATCAGCTACAAGACCCCATGACGAAGAACGTGTTCAATAGCCCCTTGGGTTGCCACCATATCAAAGTATCGAATCCTAAGGAAAGCCTTCAACCCTACACCCCAAACTGCCTCAAGTCCTTAGACAGCCCTGGCCCGGACGAAAGAGCCCCAAACCCTAAACCCCCTTTGCCCTAACCAAAAACCCTATATGCTTCTAGAACTATTCTGAAAACCCTTCAAATCCCGAATAGGACCTTTGCAGCAACCCCTAGCGAGCCATCATAATGTAGCCCTACGCTATACCCGCCTTCGGTGGCCAAGATTCAGCATAACCTAGGCCCTATACCCTTTGATGCTATTCCCTGCCCCGCCTGCGGTGGCCAAGACTCAGCACAACCTAAACCCTAAACCCTGTAATGCTATCCTAAATCCTAAACCCTAAACCCTAAACCCTGAACCCTAAACCCTAAACCCTAAACCCTGAACCCTAAACCCTAAACCCTGCTATGCCTTGCCCCGCCTTCGGTGGCCAAGATTCGGCATAACCCAACGCCGCACGGCCAGCAGCTTCGAAGTCCTCCTGGCACTCGGAACCCTTTTGCTTGAAGCTTCAATCTACCGGCCTTGTTTAGGGTTTAGGGTTTAGGGAAGGTGCCGGCCTGAATAAAACTAGGGTTTAGGGTTTAGGGGTGAGAGAAATTCAGCATCGGAGCTTGCTTTGAGAGTTCGGGTTCGGGGGTGCTTAGGGTTAGTGGGGTTGAGTGGATGTCAGAGGGCTTCAGGGTTTGAGCTTGTCGGGACAAAGTTAGCTTTTAGGGTTTAGGGTTTAGATTTCGGGGTTTGCAGTGTTAGCGTTTCGGGTTTCAAGGCTTATGCGAGGTGTGGAGTTTGGTTTGGACCCTGCCTTGGCAATTAAACAGGGCTTTCCAGAAATATTCAGCTCTAGTTTTGTCACCCTGAGCATCAAAATAGCCCAAAGGCCTCATATAATAGTGTCGATGGGCCCAAAAACCTCAACATATGAGCCCTTTGAGGGTAAGGGTTCGGGATTATGAGGAAAATAGTATTACTAAGTTTTCCGGTCTCCAAAATATAGCTGTCACTCTGAGCCGACCATCCTCAATGACGGGACCTTGAGGGTCCATGTACCCAAATAGCATATACTTTGGCCTTAAAGCACCCCTGTACATCGGTACTTTGGGGCCAAGTATATACTATTTGACTGGGCACATGGACCCTTAGAGAATTAGTAAGGCCCATTACTGAACGTGCTCATGCGCAAACCTGGCTCAGAGACGATGCCTCAAACCAGGACATTTGAAATAGCACAAGACCAACATTGGAACATGACAGTCCACCACCGAAACTTACCGCCCTAAGATTGCGAGCCTTGCACCTGCACTTAAAGACTCCTACCTCAAGCTCTAGATTGAAGATCCAAAACCAAAACTCTACCCTAAACCCTAAACCCTACACGCAAAAACCTCACTTTGTTTGCCGGGCAGCTAAAGCACTTCGGTTGCCGGCCTCCTTGACTCCACAAGAGATTCAGGCTTGTTGTGTAGCGTCGGCTTCTGGGTCATGTATTTGGGATGGGATTCGGCTTAGGGATTGGGTTTTAGGGTTTAGGATTTAGGGTTTGGGATTTCGGCTAAGGGACTGGGTTTTATAGGGTTTAGGATTTAGGGTTTGGGATTAGGAACTTCCGTGATGCGAAAGTTCAGGAATCGGAAGCGTGAGAGTCATGAGCGACGAAACACTGAGCCTTTGTCACGTTTTTTGGAATCTCGGTCGAATGAGCAAGTGTACTCACGCCGCTCCATCCCCGGGTCTTTGCACGTAAGTGCTGTGTACATGTATACTGTATATAGATTCCCTGCGTAGCTTCGCCAAACTGACAGAGTTTATGTAACCAAGGTTGGTACGGCGAACGAAAGGCTTGAGCCCTATGTATAGTCCACGAGGCACCGAAAACGCATCTCAAACAATAAACAAAACCGGAGCGGTAGACCTGACACTTGTATCCAGACCTCGAACAATCAAGGCATTCAAGTTACCGCAAAAACAGTAAAGTCATGGAATACATCATTTGTGTGTACGTATATATAATTGTTCATACATGCGAGTAGATGTAGATGTCGGTGGAGATGTAGATGTAGATGCAAAGGTGTATGTAAATGTATATGTAGAGAAGAACGCAGATGCATGCGTGTACATACTTACTGACATAAAGTACACATACATACATGTATATATATATAAATATATATATATATATATATACACGTATACATTTATATATATATATATATGTATCTTTAAATTATTTATTTATGCTTGCACGATACATACTAGAATCGCTGGATGAACAACCCTGCCTGATCCTCGGAGGCGGCAGCGGCAACATAGCGGCGAAGAATCGAAACCTCAACGGGTTAGGGTTTACCCACTTGGAGGTTCATCGGTAGTTAGAAGTGAGTTATACGTAGGGTAACTATACTTTTAACCCATATTAGGGCACTTATAACCCTACTTATAACTACCCATGAACCTCCAAGTAGACGCCCCAACTATCCTCTAATATACCCTAAATACCCACTATTGAGGGCCATAAGGGCTCTATTAAAGGGCCCTTGAGGGGTCCTGGTAGGGTGTAGGGTGCGGGTTGTATAATGGACCCTAAACCCTATAAACCCTAAGCTGTGGGAGTTAGGGTTCAGGTTCCGGGCAAGCCCCTAGTAGGGGAATGTGGGACCCTGATTCATGAAACCCCTCTTCAAAGCCTTAGATATGGGGATCCTGGTGCTCAGTTAGGAAGGAGGGGGTTTATATATATATATATATACATATACATATATATATATAATAGTCGATGGTCTGCATTAAGAATTAAGAGGTTTATATACATGGAAGAGTCAGGCTGTTCTTGAAACTTTTGCCCCCGAATCGTCCATGTAGCCGAAACGTGATCTTGTAAGGGGGCTCTGTACGGGGTTCAGAGGGGTTCTGTAGGGTTCTATGGGCTTTTGGTTTGAGGCGTAGACGATGCAACATATCAACCCGGAAGTGGAAATGATCACCCATGATCCTCCATCAGACCACAGCAGAGGTTAGGGTGTAGGGTTCAGGAAACCGTAGTAGTGAAAACGACCCTAGTCAGTCTGCGCTGACTGTTGGTGAGTGACACGCAGTTGGGCCATTGCCATTGGGTGAAAACAATGACCACAACCCTAAACGCTACACCCTAAACCCTAAACCGGGGCAAGGACAGGGGAGCAGCAGTTTTCGAAACTTCGAGCAGAGAGACAACTGCAACTAGCAAGAAAGCAGAAGTCCGCACTGCAATGTACCTATAGTCTCCATTGTAGTTCCTTTTTGGGGATACCGTATAAAATCCTTATTATATTATTGGTTAAACCAAAAAAGGCAAAACAAAGTCATGGCGGGAACAGGAAGCATGAGATCTCGCGCCAGTACCAGTAAGGGCTTTGATATACTCATACGATCAACAGCAGACGGGTGATACCCCACGATGACAATAACTGCACCAACACTGAGAACGGATGGGGTTCATGTTACCATCACCGCTAACTCTAGTGGCAACTAACCGCGGTCCCCAATCAAGATACAAAGGAGTCAGCTGAGAGCGAAGTCGGCAGCAACAACAATACGAGTGCTAAGCTTGAGCCATGAAACTACGCCTGTCTTACGGCTGACGATTTAGCGGTCAGGTTAACCCTAGACCCTGCGCCCTGCCGGAGTACAACAAAATAAATTCGGCCCATTGGTCGGTGCGAGCCTCTGCCCGCTCTTCGTCCAACCTTCTCTGGGCGGCCTGCTGTGGACATTGTGGGATGTACGGATTTGCGTGCGGTTCAGGGTCTGGGCTTTCGGCTTTAGGATGCGGGGTGGAGGATCGGCTTAGGATTTAGGAAACTTAGGGTTTAGGATCTGGCATCTAGAACATTATAGGAGACCGAGGTTTAGGTAGGGTACAGCACTGGCCAAGGTTGCTGAAGACGGCATCCCCTGTCAAGCGACCCTCCGATGCAATTTGGATGGCTCAGTGTTGAGGGTTCGGAGCTCAGTGTGTACAGGGTCGAAGGTTTTTTGGGTTTTGGGGTTTCGGAGATAAGGACAGGGACTTGGAGCTTAGGTCTCAAAGCTTCTGTAATCTCTACGGCTCAAGCTGTTCTGTGTGTGTGTGTGTCACGTTTTGGGGTTCTTCCTCGCAATTGATCCAAACCTTGCCCTAAACCCAAAACCCTAAACCCAAAACCCTAAACCCAAAACCCAAAACCCAAAACCCAAAACCCTAAACCCAACAACCCTAAACCCTAAACCCTAAACCCTAAAGCGCGAAATTGGAGCTTCAGGCTCCACCGTGGGGCTTAGGGTTGGGGAGTCTGAGGGATCAGGTTTTGGGGCCATTCTTTCGGATTCTGGTATCAGGCTTAGGGCCTCAACCTTAAACCCAAAGCCCTGAACCCTAAACCCTTTAACCCTAAACCCTTAAGCCCTAAACCCCAAACCCCTAAACCCTAAACCCCTTAACCCCAAAACCCGGAACCCTAAGCCCTACACCCCCAAACCCTGAACCGACGGACGCAGAGGACCGGCCTCTGTACCCATCTCTTCTTTGGAGAGTAGCCGAAGCGTGACCTAAGTTCGTCAGAGGCTGGGCTTCGAGATGTGTCGAGGACAGCGTAGGGTTTCGGGGGCCGAGTTTTGGTTTTTGAGGCTGCGCTTTTCGCATGTCTGCTAGCATCGGTTTTCTAATAAGGGAAAACCACTCGGAGGTTTCAGGAGCACATGTTTGCGCGAGTGCCCTAAACCCTAAACCCTAAGGGCTCTGGTAACCTGGCTGGACAAGCGCCCGTTGCGGGCGTCTAAGGGTTCGGCTTTGGGAGCATACTCCTGGCATTGCCCTGCGAGGCGAGAAGGTCACACCAAAACGATGGTGCAAGATAAGGGTTTAGGGTTTAGGGTTTATGGGGGTGCACATAGAATTAAGGTTTAAATCCGCTGCCAAGTCGGAACAAAGGCCCTAGCTTCCTGAACGTTTGGATGATGGAATGGTGAGCCAGATGTCCGTTAACCGTTAATACCACGGATGCTTTTAAAGTCGCATGATGTCGAGTTCCACGATACCCTCTCACATGTAAACATGTGTCGGGGCCCTAACCGGCAAGAGCCGCAGAAGCTTGAAGTTGACCCACCGAAAAGATCGGACATTGAAGCCCTGAAACCGCGAAAAGAGACACCCCCCCCCCTCCACCCCACCCTCCACAACACACAGAAGGCCAGGCCAGAAAAGCCCGTATTCTGGATATTTTGGGAGGTCCGAAATACCTATAGTCTCCATTGTAGTTCCTTTTTTTGGTTAAACCAGTTTCATATTTAGGATCCTATAAGGGAACCCCATAAAGGAACTGCAATGGAGACTAGAGGTACCTCTCGGAAAATCTCCCAGCCGGGTGGCCCAGAAGTGGAAGATCAGCCGCAAGGACCAAGGCTTTGGATCGTGGCGCCTTGGCGGAGCACAGAAGTGTCTGGTGCTTAGCAGGGAATGGGGGAATGGGTTATAGGGACTACTACAAGGGACCTTCAGGGACTATCATAGGGATCCATTACCAAAGGGTCCAAGTATTAATATGGTAGCTACTTTGTAAGTACTTGGGTCCCCAAAGTATATACTATACTATAACTTGGACCCTTTGGGGATTCGCACTCTTAGCAGATTCTAGAGTCCAGGGGTCCGGGGTACATGACACCGCATCTGATATATGAAAGTGATAAGGTACATCGATCTTGTTCTGCGGCCCACATCCAACCTTCACATGCTTATCTTACATATCCTGAACCTTCGACTCCTACCTATAGTCTCCATTGTAGTTCCTTTTTTGGGTTTAACCAAGCTTATATTTAGAATCCTATAAGGTAACCCCCAAAATGGAACTACCATGGAGACTATAGGTAGATGGCACCTAGCCAGGACTCGGTGGCAAGCATCCCAAAATCCCTAAAGCCTCGAATGGCTCCGCTTCACGTCTGTCCAGCTTAGCTCAAACGAGGGTTTAGGACAAGGGCCTGTGCTACGTAGGGGGTTAGTGTTTAGGTCTAGGTTTAGGGTTTTGGGTTTAGGGTTTAGGGTCAACATCTGTCTGTAACGACCGCTGCCGGAAGGCTGTGGTTTCAGTGCCGGCGCTGAAGCCAAACACCTGAGGGTTTGGTTGCGTTCTATCTTTCTCCAAGGATTTCGAGCAGGAGCCTCAAGAAACATTCATCGAATCACAAACCCCAAACGCGCATGCCCTAAAACAAATTCAATGCATCATTATAAGTCCCCAACATGACAGTCTACTCCTTCAACCATTCCCCTTCATCACGAACCCCAAGAGCGCCCCAACATCCGATCCTAAACCATCTCGGAGCACTTGCGTGAAAGAAGGCAAACACCTAAGCCAGATCATTCAACTTGAGGAGTTCGAACGAAAGCTAACATCAACAAAACACTTATAGTGAGTCAAGCAGACAAAGCCAAACACACTGAGATATCACAGAAACCCAAAACATCCCCAAACCCTAACCTTAAACCCTAAACCTTTGACCTTAAAAGCTGAACCTAAAACCCTAAACCAAAAACCATAAAACCCTAAACCCTTAACCCTAAACCTAAAACCCTCAAACCTTGAACCCTTAGAGCCCTATAAACCCTAAGAGCTGAGCTCGCGGCAGGCGGCCGATGATGGCAACCGCCCGCTCGGAGGTGGCATCCTCAGGCTTCAAACGGTTTAGGGTTTAGGGCTTTAGGGGTTTTGTTTAGGGCAGGGTTTAGGGTTCAGGGTTTTAGGGTCATAGGGTTAAGGGCTTTGGGTTTAGGGTTTAGGGTTTTGGATTTCGAGTTT